TATCTTAACACAATAAAAGACCCATCCCAAAGAAGAATGTTTGCAAAATTCCGAATAAGTAATCACAAACTACTTATAGAGTACGGCCGCTATCAAAATATACCCCGTGAAGAAAGATATTGTAAATTATGCGGCACTCAGAAAGTCGAAGACGAATTTCACTTTACCTTCGAATGTCAAAATTATGAAAACATTAGGAATGATTCCAGCAATATACTGAAAAACATTTTTCAAATGACTCTTGTAACAGAGTCAAAGCAAAACTTATTGAGGCATGTTATTTCAAGCACTGATTCAGTTTTAATCGATCTATTTTCAAAATTCATTGCAAAATGTTTTAACATTAGAGACAAAAGCCTTCAAACAAAAGATACTAACTAAATTACTAAATTTTCCTATATTTCTATTATATATTACCTATTGTATATATTTCTTTATCCACCTAATGTTGTAACTACAGTAAAATTAGTTGTTATTTACTATAACTTTTTTATATATATATACGCTTAGCAATACCTGTAACTAGGTCATGCAAATAAAAGCTTTAATAATAATAATAATAATAATAATAATAATAATAATAATAATAATAATAATAATAATAGCCTTATTTCTTTACCATTTTTGCCTTTTCCAAAAATGAAAAAAGTCGCTAAAAATGGACAAAAGGTTAAGACTATTGCCTTACTTTCTGCCATTTTTAGTTAACCACTTTTTATTTTTGAAAAAGTGGCTAGAAATGGAGGAAAGGTTAAGGCTATAATAGCCTTATTTCTTTACCATTTTTGCCCCTTTTTCAAAAATGAAAAAAGTGGCTAAAATGGACAAAAAGTTAAGGCAATAGCCTTACTTTCTGCCATTTTTAGTTAACCACTTTTCATTTTTGAAAAAGTGGCTAAAAATGGACAAAAAGTTAAGGCTATTGCCTTATTTTTTACCATTTTTTGCCCCTTTTTCAAAAATGAAAAAAGTGGCTAAAAAGGGACGAAACTGAATTTAAGGCTATAAGCTTACTTTCTTGCCCCTTTTTTTGCCCCTTTTTCAAAAATGAAAAAGGTGGCTAAAAATGGACGGAAAGTTAAGGCTACACATGTATAGCCTTACTTTTTTGCCCCTTTTTCCAAAAATGAAAAAGTTGTTAAAAATGGACAAAAAGTTAATTCTATAGCCTTATTCTTTTACCCTTTTTTTGCCCGGCTTTTTCAAAAATGAAAAAAAAAGCTAAAAATGGACGAAAAGTTAAGGCAATAGCCTTATTTTCTGCCATTTTTACCCACTTTTTTCATTTTTGAAAAAGTTGCTAGAAATGGACGAAAAGTTAAGCCTACACGTATAGCCTTACTTTTTTGCCCCTTTTTCCAAAAATGAAAAAGTTGCTAAAAATGGACAAAGAGTTAAGGCTATATAGCTTTATTCTTTTACTCTTTTTTGCCCCTTTTTCTAAATATTATATTCGCATAAACCGATACTCAGACAGAGTAGACGAGCCAGGCACAGCGCGTTTCCTTTTTGAATATGTCTTCCTTCCCTTCCATGTCTTTCTTCATATTCTATATTTGTATAGCTATACTAGGAAATAGTTTGTGTTAACTTCTTTCACGGGTGCATGATTAGGAAGAAATCTTACTATAATGCTGCAGTTTTTAAAGTTTGGTGACTTACTGGTTTACGTATATCAAAAATTTTACTTTGCGTCTTCATTTAGCGTCTCTGCTGCAGACATGATTGATTTGAATACAATGGAAATGTGTCTTCGTATTTCCCCCCAGTCTTTCTCAGTCTTATTGCTCGGAAACATGAGATCAGAGATCCCAGGGAAATGAGCACTGGCATAATTGTTGTTGAAAGGTGGCGCAAAAATAACGTGACGGTTGAACTTTTGATTTGGAAGACCAAGACTGTAAATGAAGGATTTTTCTACGTTCACCATCCTGTCATTTAGATCACGGACTTCAATCTCGTTCTTACGTTTGATGGCTTTGTCTATCTCTTCATGGAATTTCACAGATGCGTTATTGAATCTGCAAATGCATGAAGAAAACAAATTGATCTGTTTGATATTGTTAAAAAGACCCAACGGCAAGTCTGCACTGTCCAATCGATAGCCTGCGGCGAGGGTATTAATTTTATAAATTAAATCAAAGCTTTATATTTCTGAAATTAAAAGTACTAATTTTTAAAATTATTTTTGCAATTCTGCACAAAAATGTAAAAAAGAAAATGATAATTACCACTAAATACGAGCCAGCGTTGAAACAATGTTTGGGAAATATAATTGTTTGGTTATTAGAAAAGCATGAGGTTATTATGTGTTTCTAGTATAATTTATTGTATATAAGTGTAGAGATTTCCCTGTAGTAAATAGGTGGAATAAAAATCGTACGCTCAAGGCGGACGATATTTTTCACGTGTGAATTGTTGAGTGGAAACTTAACGTCTTAGCGTTTTGACTGCATGGCTTGCGTTTTCGCGCTCATAATTGTAAACATGGCCTCGTCATGGTTTAGTGAAGACACCGACGTGAATTGTGTAAGTCCTTAGAACTAAGATTAATATAATCGTTTTCACTAAGATACAATATATTAGATACAATATACAATAGTAACAGGAAACAGATTTGCTCTATTAATGGTAAGCAATCGGATGTAATCGAACTTAAGTGTGGAGTTCCAAAGGGATCCAACCTTGGGCCGTTTTTGTTTCTCTATATATTAACGACTTGCCCAGATGTCTCCAAACTACTAAGGCTAGATTATTTGCAGACGATACAACTCTTTCCATCAGTGCTCCAACCGTAGATGAAATTGAATCAAAACTTAACCATGATCGTTTGAAATAACTTGAATGTTAACGAATGGCTCATTGCAAATAAACTTACACTAAACGAAACGAAAACTGAATTTATAATAATAGGTTAACACCAGCGAGTACCGTCATTTGAGCAGGGCCCCATAATTAAACTTGGTAATCAAGTTATTAAGGTAAGTTATTAGTTGTAATTTTAAATGAACATCTAACTTGGAACAAGCATATCGACGAACAAAATAAAAAGATTTCAAACAATATTGCTTTATTAAGGAGAGCTAAATCGTTTGTGCCTGAACATATCCTTAATAAAATGTATAATGCATTTGTAATTCCGAATTTCTATTACTGTTCCACTGTTTGGAATGATGGCTACTAAAGTAAACCTACAAAGCTTTCTAAACTTCAAAAGAAAGCGGCACGTGTGATAACCGGCGCTTCATACGATGTACGGTCCAATGAAATATTTCGAAAACTTGATTGGATGCCAATCCATAAAAACTTATCTATTCGGGAAAATATTGTTACTTTTAAAGCACTTACTGCTAATTCTCCGAATTATCTCACAATAATGTTTAATTTCTGTTCAAACGAAACGTACAAATTGAGAAGTAACTTTTGCCAACTTTCCCTTGAGAAACCTAACACAAATTTTCTCAAAAAAAGTTTCATATAGAGCGGCAAAATCTTGGAACAATCTCCCGGATAACATTAGACAAAACGTCGACAATATCACACTAAATGTTGCTAAATCTATGCTCATCAATCACTACAGAACCGATTAAGTCCCCTTGGGTTAATCAGTAATAATCAGTAGTTTTGTACTATAATTAGAATAATTAGTTGTTTAATGTATTAGTATATATTATATTGTGAAGCTGACCAGTATGTAGGCTTCACTATTTTGTATTATAGAATTAGGTTAATATATGTTGTATAGTGTGCACGGCCCATTGAAAATCAGCGTAGCATGCTGAATGGCTACAGTGCTTAAAGAATTTTAAAGATTAAAGATATACTAAAAAGGGAAAATCGTCAAGGAAAAATATACAATGGCCTTACCTGATAATTGCCGCATCGATGTAATGTAAGGTGATGTTATTCTGGCGAAGTTCCATGCCATATGTATCATTCAAATTCTTGAAAGATTTTCGCAAGGATTTAGCGTATTGGCGGACATCAAGTGGCAGTACGATGCTGTCAACGGTCGACAGCAGTGCTCTTGCTGCTACTTGCGTGGTCGTAAGATGATATGAGAAGTTTGTGTCTACCAAACCTTGAAGCCATTTGTACGTGTCGTGAACACTATGGTAAACTGGATAGATGCCCTCACCGAGGTAGTACATATCTAACGATGGCACTCCTATAAAAAGAATATAAATTTTGATCATCTTGCTGACCAGAATAAAAACGATCCATGCATTTTTACCGTGGGTTGAAATAGTTACTGAAATTAACGACCATGAATGGTCGAGCAAATGCCCGCTCTCTAATAAACGCACGGTATTGAACAACATTCAGTTAAAGCCAGAATTTTGTAATGTATGTGCCCCTCTATTAAGAGAGGAATCTTTTGTATGTTACGTAACACGCGCTCAAAACTAATAAATATTATTTTCCACTTGGTTATGACTATATTCATTTTTTTAATACTGATACGTTTCTCAAGCGGAAAAAAAACTTATAGTAAAATAGTATATACATAAAAAGTATATACATATACATACACACTTTATTTAGCGACGCTAGCCCCGACAACTACAAAAGTTGATTTCCACGGGGGACGTCCATATAAAAAATATTACAAAGAATATAAAAAGGAATGAAAGTATAAGTCTACTACTATATGTACATTATCAAAAGCTACTGTAATCCATGATGGTGTGTCCCAGATAAAGATATAATTAACTGAATCCAGACTCGGTTATTAACATCGAAAATTTTGTTTTATACAACTTTTAAATATATAAATTGATTGTGCTTGCTTAGCTTCAAGCGGAAGGTTATTCCAAAGATAAGCACCGCTATATTTAAAGCTTCTTTTGAGAAATTCTCTGTTTGGCTTTGGAAGGGTCAGATCAGTTTGAGAATTTCTAAGATTATAATTCATGTTAAGTAAAATATTCCTACTTATGAATGAATCTTTCAGAGTTGGTGCAGCACTATTACTCAAGACTTTATATAAGAATGTTGCCTTGGTTAAGTACCATCTTATTTCCAAATTTTCCCAGTCAAGAGTTCGAAGAACGTCAGCAGATCTGATCTCTTAACTGGCGCCAGCTATTATTCTGGCGGCCCAATTTTGGAACTTTTGTAAATTATCTCTTAGTGTTTTGTTACAAAACCCCCAAAGGGGAGAGCAGTAATCGAAGTAAGGCTGTATCAGAGCATTATAAATTGATATCAATGTGTTTGCAGGAACATAGGTCTTGATACGCTTTAAAATTCCTATGCCCGCTCCGACTTTTTTGCAAACCATTTCAATATGTTCGTCCCAATTCAATGTTTCGTCAAGTTTAACTCCCAAATACCCCGTGTGTGACTCTGGGAATCAGTTGATCATTACGGGGAACTCATTGTCAATTTTAGCAAGATTATGATTTGATCCGACGTACATTTGGTTTTTGTTGAATGACTATGCAGTTTGTTTTTGACCAGCCATTGACTAATATTGTTTAAATCATGATTTAAATTAGCATTAAGTTCTACACAGTCTTTCGCAGATGAAAATATCTGCATGTGAATCGTCAGCATATAAGCATGGGGTTGACTTCTCAAGACAATCAGATAAATCATTAATATACAATAAGAACAATAAGGGGCCCAATATAGATCCTTGAGGGACCCCACACACAATCCTTTTGGTGCTGACATTGCGCCATTAACAAATGACACTTGTTCCCTATCAGAAAGATAGGATACAAACAGTTTTAATTCAATATTTGAAATCCCAAATTGTTCTTTCATTTTGCGCAAAAGAATATTATGATTAATAGAGTCAAAAGCTTTTCGAATATCAATAAAAACTACACCATTGAATTCACCATTATCCATATTCTCATACCATGCATCGCACATCTGAATGAGTGCTGCATGCCAGAGTAGAAGATTTTGGGCGAAACCCGGGCCAAATTGATGTTTAGAAAGTAGATTATTAGCGTTAAGAAATTCATACAATTGATTGAAAACGGATCTTTCGAAAGTTTTACTAATAATCGGTAAGATTGATATTGGGCGATTTTCCTATCTTCATGTTTATAGATAGGTACAACCCAAGCCTTCTTCCAATCATCTATGTAGACTCCGGTTTTGATACAAAGGTTGAAAATCCACGTTAGAGAAGGGCTAATTATTTCAGCTGAGATTTTAAGTGCCTTGCGGGGATAGAATCCATGCCTGTCGATTTTGAGGTTTTAAGATTACTTAACAAAAGAAATACTTCGTATTCGCTTATTTCAGACAGAGTAAATAAAGTCACTGGACTAGTACCGAGATTTTCTGACAAGTCCAGAGCATCATGGTAAATTTCAGCATACAGTTTTGGCCCAGTGCTCACGAAGAAGTCATTAAAGGCCTCCGTTATCATTAAATTATCAGAAATAATAGTGTCGCCTATTTGTAATTGGGGAATGTTGTTTGATTTAAAATTCTTACCCAAGAGGTGATTAATATGGTGCCAACTTTGTTTAGGATCTTTAGTCTGAGCACAATCCTCAAATTTGTCGCAAAAATACCTCTTTTTGGCTTTGTACAATTCAGAGTTAACTTTATTGCGAGTGTCTTTATACTTCGCCCAGTGTGTTTGAGAATTAAATTTTACCGCTTTCTTTTTGAGAAAATCTCTTGCTTTCATCAGATTTTTTATATTTGAAGTAATCCATGCAAGGAAGTGAGTTGCCTCGGATTCTCATGCATCTAAATGGTGCATGTCGGTCAAGTATTTGCAAGTAAAAAGATTTCCATAGTTGGCAACAAGAGTTTGGATTTTCATATTGTGCCACATTTTCCCATGGCGTCTGTGATAGTCATTAAGAAAGTCCGTAGCATTGAAATTTTTAAAGTTTGTCGAGATTTTTGAGAAAACAATTTTCTAACTGCAAAAATCAAACTGTGATCGGATACACCAAGATGAATAACTCCGGATTTTACAATATTTCGTTACCCTTGTGGGTTCATTAATTAACTGCTCAAGCTGGTAGACGCATGGAAGAAATTGCAGTCTACGCGTGTGAGCATCAGGAGGAAACTTACACTAATATCACAATTTAGATCACCCATAAGTAATAATTCTTTGTTTTCCAAGTCACATGCATCTACTAAGAAAATTTTCAAAATCGTCAAACAGGCAAGTATCTGAGCCAGGGGGTCTATACCATGTAGTTACTAAGAATGGCCTACTGCATGGTCTACTAAGTGCTTTATCTGTAAAATTATGCTATTTTGCTGTATAACTATATATGGCGTCAGTTTTACAGCATCAATAAACACTGTCAATAATCTGCAAAATAGATTGTGTAAACAAAAGGTTCTTACCCACAAATTGATAAAAACTAGCATAATCAGACCCAGATCCGAGACTCCTAAATGGAATTCTACCATCACTAGAATTAGAGACTTCTACCAATCTTTCGTACACTGTCTGTCGTTTTCCGTCGCTCTTATTGAGATGTGGATCTTCAACATTTTTAACAGTTTGTGTAATGACGGTCTCGAACAGGGGAGATCCTTGCAAAATAAGCATGTGAGTACCGGCAACTGAAGCATCAATGTTGATGTAAGTGACGCCTTTGGTTGACAAAGCTTGTTCGTGTTCCTCCACCCATTCATTAGAGCCAATCAAACCTGGTTCTTCTGCTCCCCAACTACAGAACTTAATGGGACGCCTGGGACGCCAGCCTTAATAGAAATGTACAATGGTAAAGTTTGCACGATCAAGCAAAAACATAAGGCATGTGCTTTCGTTCGCTACTCTGGTTTAAGTATAAATGAATGCAAAGCCGTGTCGAATACACCGTCCTGGAAAGTACATAATGTGCACCTTGGCTATAGTGCCTTGTTTTCGTGGTTGAGATGAGGCTTTAACTTATGTCACATACGCGAAAACGAGGCTATATAGCCAAAGTGACGTACTTTCCGGAAGGGTGTATTTCATTCACGACCCTTTGCAATAATTTTCTTAAATCAGAGTAGCGAGCGAAAACATGTAAAAATATTTAACTATATACTTAAAACCTAAACTAACAAAATTACGATCCTAGGCCTCGAGGAACGGGACTCGAAGAATCCTACAGCGCACCTGCCCAAACGTAAGTAAAATTATTTTAAATACAACAATTATCACTAAAATTTAGATTCTATCGCAAAGGACAGTTTCGATCGAACCAGGGAACAAGCCATGTCAAAGTTATAAATACAGCTAAGTGTTTTAGAGTATTTAAAACTATGGGATTAGAGAGACTGCATGTGAAAAGAAACCTCTAATTAAAACCGTACAGTTTCCCAGATCTTGATGATAGGGATGTACGATAGAAAAGCATTTATTTAGTTCTATACAGTTAACTTCGATGAATATATACCTTGAAGTATGACCAAGGTGAGTGATGGACGAACAACTAACGGACAATATATGCCAAAACTATAAGTAACTGAATAGCGTAGAGAACACTTACAGTGAGATTTTCGGAACATTGAAAAGACAATGACACATTCTGATCAATCATTGTTCGTCACTGGATGGCGCAATCGTTATGGTAAAGAATCCATTCGTTTTCAACTATTTAAAACGAATTGTGGAAACAGGAAATAGAGAACGCTCAGTGGTGTCAGGTAACGAAGTAAATGTACTTCCTTACTGTACTTGAGTATTATGTTTGAGAAGTCAGCATGTAACAAAGTAAAATTTTCCTGGAGTACTTTTACTTGGAACGAGGTCGTTTTAAGAAGAAACGTTTTACTTCGTTATTTTTATTTTCAGTATTTCGTTACTTTCTAACTTTTATAAGTAATAGGGCAGAGACATGTTCCTGGGATGATGGAATCTCTCATTTGTGGCTTAGTTAAAAGCATTGTTCATTTAATGGATTTCGTAATTCCTACACCACTGAGAACGCTCTCGAATGATATTTTAAAATGGCAGCTACACTAGAACAATTACCTTGTTTTAATAACATGCTCAAGCCACGTGAAATTTCCATCATGGCCGCTGTCCCACTGGAAGGATCTACAGCACCAAATCCCCAAGCGTCCCTATGATTTCCTATCAATACCCAACGATCCGGTTCTTCCCTGCCATATATGGTGCCAATGACGTTGTAAATATCTTGTTTTGTGTTAGGAAAATTGACTTCAATTCGCACAACGGAGTTGTTTCCTTTTAATCCTTCATTACCAAGTCTGTAGGTAATATCGAGTGTGCCTTTCCAGCTGTCTGGGACTTCCTGACCTACATGTAAACAAAATGAATGGAAGTTTTTTAATATAATTTTATAACCAATTTTACTAAGGGCTTAATTGTTAACGAGTCACCGCCTAGCCTACCTATTATCTTGCCATGTACTAATTTTACTATTAAGATTTACATCGTGTTCATATGAGGAAGCGGGCTGGCATGCTTGGCGAGATTCCGGCTGTGTAACCCGCGAGATAGATAAGATAGATAAGTGGGATGGGCATTTTCCATACTAAGCTTAGCTCGCGTACCAGGATGAAGTCAAGAAACCGAATTTTAGATTTTATCGTTTAATTTAACAATTTACTTAGTTTTATCTTTGTTTTGTAAACAAGTATTAAATGTGTTGCCAAAGCAATGCTTTTTCTGGTAAATAAATTAAAAGATGAAAAACACCAAACTCGTTAAAATATTTGTGATGCATGACTGAAATGTACAAGTTTTCAAAGCGCTAATTATATCTCAATTTGATCACTACTGAGCTTGCCGAGGTGAAATTACAACGCAGTTAAATTAATTAAAAAAACTCCATATGAACACACGGAAGTGTTCGTCCCACTAGGCGAGACGTCTCAGTAGGCGAGATTTACCTTCCATAATTTTCATGATTTCTACAGCGTCACCGTACGGCATGGGCGCTGCTGGGATTTCTGGAAGACTGGCATCATCGGGAGATATTCGGTAAACGCCGTCAATAGACGGCAGTCCAGGTGTTATAGGATCTCCGCGACTGGTAAAAATAGATCCCCGTTGAACACCAGTCTTTGGCAACCAGATGTATTGAGGGTATACTTTGTCCTGACCTTCTGGGGCAAAGTCTGCGGGATCGTTATACAAAATGGCACCAACGGCACCGCATTCGCGAGCATTTTTTACCTGAAGAAGAGGGCAAATGTACAGTTTTCTCATAACGACGCAACTGTAAGCAATTTTGACCGATGGCTGAACCACTTCTTTGAACAAGCGGCCCAAGATAAAAAAATAAATACCTTATCACCACGGAAAATTTTGCCATATCTCATAATGGCAATATATCCATTACAGTTTGAAATGCTAAAGTTCTTCTTTAATACATCAAAGTCCTCTGTGCGCCCATAGTTCACATAAAGCAGCTTGCCACTAGCTGATCCTTGTTTCGAATATCCAAGAAATGGAGGAATCATTGTCTCATCGTCTTCACTTGGATCTGCCAACTTCGACATCCGAATAGAATGATACACAAAAATGCAATAAATTTGTGTCGAAATATATTTCGAAAACTTTTTTATATGGTTTAATATAACAGTGATGATTTAATAATGGTAAAAGAGATAATGACAATTACGATGATAATGATGATGGTAGTAATGGTGATATTGATCATTAATATGGTGAAAATTTTGGTGATAATATCGATGATGATGTTGATGCTGCATGTGATGATAATGGTGATACTTTTGATAATGGCGATGGTGATGATAATGGTGAAGTTCGTGGTGATGATGATTCTGTTAATAATGCAAATGATGGCAATTATCAATTATCACTGCAAAACGAAAACATACCTTTTCCTTCCCAGAAAACTCAAGCACAGTGTTGTTTCCAGTATCCAAAATTTGTACTTTATTTGAAATATTTGGATTAACATAAGGTAGAAGAACATTATATTTTGGCATTTCCACTTTGTCGAAATTATAATCCTTCCAAGTTTTAGCGATCTCTTCAGCCAACTCTCTGGATCTCGCTGTTCCAGGAACATGGGGTCGCTTAGAAAAATACCTTTTAAAATCACATAAAAATAGTAACATAATTCAATATTCAGAACAAACATGAAAAGAGTAGTGCATAACAAAAAAGATTTGTCCATTCCAGATCCTTTTGAACACAAATTGTTGTTCGATTATAATCTGTTTCATACCCCTTCATGGATTTTAAAGATATTTTGTAATACATTGGCTTTTGAATATACATATGAGAAGTAGAATGCGAAGTGAACAGTTGCTTATATATAGTTTTTATTAAATCCTAAATAAACCTTAAATAATATAAGCCATTAAAATGGCCAGCCATGCAGAATTGTATAAGTGGTGAAGTTAGACCACTTTATTATTTAGACGTTTTTCTAAGTCATTTTTCCAAGTTTCATGATCATTTTATCACAGAGCATCAACCTTGTTTAACCAAATCGATTATATAGTCTATATAGGTATGCTTCCATGGTCAGTGACATTTGATACCTCAAACGCAGGGTGGACGTGTTGGTAGTATATTCTAAAATAGTTCGACGTTTCGAGCTTAATCAGTAAGCACACTTGTCCAGCGGTTATAGTTCGCTAGCCCCATGCTGCTATACTAATCCCCTGATAGTCCTGATATTAGCCTTTACTCTTTGGTTTCGCTCATACAGTACGTGAAGAAATTATTAATACCAAACATAAACATTGCGGAATCGATCTAGTACGGCAATGTGGCAAAATAAACAGTATTTTTACGGAAACAATTTTTTCTCATCTCCATCTTTCTTTTTCTGCGCTGTCAAGGATATGATGCAACTACCTGAAGACATAAGCGAAACTTCGACGTTTCGAGCGAAGGCGTCGGGAAGGTAGTAGCGTATAGGACGTTATCACGACTGCAAACGAACTCGTTGAACAAAAACATGTCGTGTGTAAATCTGTTATATATAGCTATATCCATCGTATGAAATTAATACCTTCTAACGATCGAAGTTAAGACAATGATTTATGGTTGAGAAGAGTTCTAGGATTCAATTTGAAATAACCGTTGTCTACTTGTCTCAGCTTGTGATGTAGCCGTTGTTTATACAAGACGTGATAATCTGTGATTTGCCGCTTCGAGGACGACATCTAATACTTTTATGAGATCTAATATACCAATATTGGTAGAATTTAAGGCTGTTTCTTGTCACGTCGATCCTTGCACTAGATTAAGCCTTCCTTAAGTTCGCTAATAAAGGGAGTAGAGGGGCGAAATAGACTACTATTCATTCTTCCGTCATGTCCTAGCTTATACTAGTTGAAGTACTAAATAAAGGCCTGATTCCACGGGTGCTTTTTCTCGGCGGTAATGCGAATCAAATAGTTCACCTTTTCTTTTGAATTGTGGACAATCATGTAGAAATAATTTATTCGAGTGATCGCGATTCAAAAGAAACAGGCGAAATATTTCGCATTTCGCCGAGAAAAATCGCCCGTGGAATCAGGCCTTAATGGATACTCCGAACAATTTTATTTTAATTATTATATCCACGTGTCGACTTATATTCATACTATTAAAGATGCGGTACAGTACGTATGTAAACAAAGGCTTTGTTTACATTTCGGTATCCAAAATATTGAATTTTATTCGACAACTATTTATATTTTCATGATTCTAGAGTATAATAAATTATCAAGAGACAACAATCAAGCTTTGCAAGAACATATAAAATGAAATAAAAACCTAAATAAACTGTTTGTAAATAAAAAGAGGGCTCCTTTGTACACATGCGCAGATCAGACTGTACTGTACCTTTAAGATGCTTGAGTATAATGGTCGTTTTCACTTCAACCATATCGTATACTGAAGCGCAGCGCATTTCTTTGTTGCCTGAGCACTAGAGTAAAACTACTATGATATGTTTCGACTTTGATACGATTGAAGTGGAAAACGTCCTTTAATTGAGACTAAGTAAGCGCTTATCATTTATTATTTATTTAAAAAATTCCTGGTTTCTGATTGGCTAACAGCCAACTGTGAAATTGTCATATCAACTCAATGGCTAACCAAATATGGATTTTTCACATTCATATTAGCAAAATGACGTCAAAGAGTCAATATGAAAAAAATTTCGACGCGTTTGCGCCATATTACTATGACGACGAGAATCATATTGACTCGCTGACGCCATTGATATGACGATGACGACGGCTGCCGAAGGACTAAGGAATTGTTTTTTTCTTAATATAAATAAAATACAAATGGCTTCTTCCACTGAAAGGTTCGCCAACCGTGGCGAAGCCGAAATTCAAAAATTACTGGAAGATAAAGATTCGTTAAATACAAAAAGATCAACAAAAGCTTCTAGAATAGGTAAGAACACTTTTCCTAATTCTTGATTGGCTGATTAACGCGGGCGAACAAATGGTTGACCGTTTGTTTTGAATTTTTTAAATAAACAAGACGCCTGCTCAGGCGTTCACACCGGCCTGAAAATGGCAACTTTCGTGGTAGGGTGTAATGTGTACTAGAGAAGTAGATAGGAATACAGGAGGTCTGGACCATATAAATACAACCAATAAATACAATCATGTCAGCAACTATCAACCATAATATACCAAGACGCTGGCTCAATCGTACCCTCCGGCTACGGGCAACTCAATCTGACAAGCCAGGCCCTCTGTCACTATGATCATCAACTATCAACCGTAAATAACGATGGGCCAATAATAGCGAAGAAATTATATAGTCCTTGATTTTTAGTGCCATTATATGGCTAGTTTCAGGTGCTAAAAAGTTCATAGACATGCATAGACGATTTTTGAAAAAACACACACGCCAATTTGCTTCCATTTATAAGATAAACTGATCCCAAGCCAAAGCCCTTCCCTAACCCCAACCAGTAAACATCTAATAAACAATTTGAGAATTAAAAAAATGAATACAATCGCTGAATACAATTAAAAAAATACATTTTTATAGTAATATATGATGAAATGGAAAGTAATTTGGCGCAAATTAATGTAGTTAGGTGCAAATCTATAATTGTGCAAATGAACACAAGTGTTTAGTCTACAACCTCTGGTCTACAACACGAGTGTACAACGTATATTATTTTATACTTGTTATTTAAAAAGTCAAACTGTCAAACCTTAAACTTTGTAACAGCAATGAAACAGGTGTGCGTTGCTGGTAAAGTTAGATATTAGGACAATCTGTTTAATCTAGCTCATGATGTTTTACCCTGGTGAATATGATTCAACCATATATGATTAAAAATATATATTATCTGTTACTACTTTGCAATGCAACATTTGTCCTACCATACGGTATGACCCGTCTTCATACAGCGAAATTATTTGAACACAGGGTTTTTTTAAGAACTTGTCTGGGGGGTGGGCATCTACAAAAAGGGACCATACTATATTGAGTGTGGAGAGATGACAGGTGGTTATTGGTGACAAGAAGTTTGGTGTGGTATCGTATGTACTAGTAGGAGGGTCTGGGGTTATTGGGTCTGGGGTTGTTTGTATTTTTCCACCCCTAGAACTGAAATGTGAGCATTTTCTGAAACAGATTTTTGGATATACAGCGTTACATTGTGCGTTGATAGACCAAATCTGATCAGTTAAGTGTACTTGCATGGTATGTTTATGTAAATACCACAACTGGGTCACTCAGGGGGTAGAAAGCTTGTTAAACTTAGTGGGCCCAACTCCCATGATCGCGAGGCGACCATGGTTGGCGCCGAGCAGGGAAATTTTGATCGTTGGAAATAGCATTTTCAGAGTCTTCTTTTTTGCTATTTGTGATTATAGAAATCAGAACTCTAGACATGGTATTTAAGTTCAAAAAGTTTTATGACCCCTCTTTCTCTGTGTTAAAACTTGTTTGACCCCCCTATTTATAAGGGTAAAACTTCGTTTGCCCCCCCCCCTCCCATTTCCCAACCCCCCCTCTCCATAAATAATGACCACTCCCTTAGATCGCTCAGTGAAAAACCGCCATTTTGAAACTGAACTGAATATGTCACTGGAGCATTCTATCCTTGGAGTTTGGAATTGTGCGCGTGCGTACAAGTGTATGGGCTAGCCTCCTCCGCAAGCATCTCACCCGACGAATCGGGTGGTGGGAAAAAGTTTGTTCGCAGGCTAAAACCCATAGAGAGGCCTGCGGAGGAGGCTATGTATGGGCTAATAAACGAAAAATGTACCACAAGCATGGCATGAGCCGGCTATTACGTACATAAATACGAGGTTGTTACGGTAATATCTAAATCATGGAACCGAGGGGAATCGATGGCATTTTGGCTTAATCGTTGCAGCCTGAGCCTGCGATGAGCTAACGCAAACTCGATTTCTCGACGACAAAAACAGAAAAAGAAGGATTTAAGATAAGAAACTTGGCCTACAGGCCAGTGTAATAATAAAACAATTATTGAATTTGGTTTTCGCACAATATGAAGAATTATCAAGCCGGGCTTGATAATTCTTCATATCGTTTGCTAATACTGCTGAAAAATAAAAAGACCGCCTTCCTTTTCGTCGCGACCATACATTACAGAATACAGGAGAGATACAGATTTAATACTGTTCTTTCAGGTCATCGGCGACCATAATTTCGCCATGACAGATGCTCAAAATGCGGTCGACTGGAAACTACTACCATATCGAATTAAGTCCTGGTAAAGGCTAAGCAACTCTTGCCATGAGAATTGAGTAAATTACCATGCATGTAAACTCTCATCAACTCTCGCCTCATTTTACCGCAGCGGGGATTTAAAAAGTGAAAATTAAATTGGTTCATGCAATAATGCAAGAAATGTAGACAGTAGACATACCTTAAATTTTTGCCTATTTCCGCCTTGTTCAGGCTTTTGTAGAGCTTAGAATGATACTGTTCTTTCTTCTGCATTTCATCTCTACGTAGTTCTTCAATGGTACGGGGTGTAGTGTCAGCATCGTCATTTGGAATTGTGAAGTAACCGATTAAAAAGCCCAACAGGAACAGTGTTATTCCTGTAACCACAAGAGCCGCAAGCTGCCCTCTAGACAGTCTTGCTGAAGTCATTTCGTAGCGAGGGTTCAAATTCGGGCTGTTGTGTTCATGTAGACCTCAATCGTTGTAATAATCACTCGAGTTTGTCGGACTACAAGCACTTAGGTCATGTCATGCTCAAAGAGTTGTGTGATAAACGCTTTAATTCACCAGTAAGCTTGGAATACTGATTAAAAATTATATTCAATCACATATTAAGACACATATGGATCTCGATATGGATTATCGTCATTATCAGACCTAATCTTCAACAATGGTAACCTTACCCTGCTGGTTTAATGATGGTTGATGCGCAAATGTTTGCATTTGATGACAGCTTCACACTGTATATCACAACACCACTAAGATAACGTCATAAGATAACAACTTTTAAGGGATGAAGAAAAGCAAGCGGGCAGTTTTATCTAAATACTACAATGCTATTCCTTTTAAAGGCCTTGCTACACAAATTAGTTAATTGTGAAATTAAAATTGCGTTCACACGAGACGGTTCCTTTTCGGTATTAAACTCCGGACGCTTTCCATTTGACAGAAATTCCGGAACTCTTGCTTGAAAATCAAGTGGAACACGTTAATTTTTGGAATGCTGTTTCGATTATTTCGGACAATCTCTCGAGGTTGTCCACAAATTGGAAATTCCGGAAGTTTCGAAATTTTTCCATCCATTAAAACATTTCCCAACCACGTTCCAGTCTTCGACGAGCAAAAACCAAAACCAAAATGGCGGGTTCTCGACCATTTCAGTGCCTCGAGTCCGAATTTATTTCGCCGAATGCAGATATAACGTAATAAATTAATAACACAGGATTTTCTAATGATTTATTAACGTAATAAATCAATAACACAGGGTAAGATTGGGCCGCCTGTGGGTCAATAGCTTTAAAGCACAACCGGGTTTGACATACTGCTAAAAAGGAACTTTCAAAATCGATCGGACGGGATAGATTCTTGCTGTGATGCTTTCTCTACTCTTTCAGTTACCTGGCTTTATTACAGTTTGGCAGCCTTTATAGTTTAGGTGATAAATATGGTTTAAAATACTCAGGGCCGTAGCTAGCATGTATAGTTGGGGGGGCGGGGGGGGGGATAGGCCAAAAATTCCCAAATGACAAAAAATATTTTCCGAATATTTTAATGGCATACGAAGCCACGAAGGCGTTTTCTATCCGGAAAAAGAAGACTCAATTTACAAACAAATATACACATATTTTACGCACAGACATATTACAGAAGCATGCAGTGCCGTAGGAAGCTCTTTTTGATTGGGGGCTGAAAACGAGGGTCGAAGGCCAGAGGAAATTATTTTAATTCAGAGTCTCTGAAATGCCATTTCCTGGACTTTGGGGAGGTTTTGACAGAATTCCGATGGTCAGAAAACAGCGTTTTAATGTGTCGAAATTTACAAATTTGCTTACAATTTAGTAGTACTAAATGGGCGAAGGCGTATTTAATTAATTAACTATATAATGGAGAAGTTGCAGCCTTGCAGGAAAGTATGGGTAATATGATTCTTTGCAGTTTGTCATGGTAATAAACCGAAAATTTAAACATTTACTTATTTACGATTTGTTAAATGTGAGTTTGGGTAATGGTCGAGGGTCATAGGTCGAGGGTCGAGGTTCGGAAGTCGAGGTCGAGGGTCAAAAGTCGAGAGTCGAAAGTCGAAAATACCAAATTTTTGTCCATTTTAAAAGTTTTACAACCATTAAACGCGGCAAAACAATTAGTTTTGCTGTCAAAACTGAAAAATTTCGCCTATGGCTATGCCGTATGTCTATGTATTGTATAACTGAAAGTTTCGTTTGTGGAACTAAAAGTCTGATGCGAGGTTTGATGTTTGAAAGCATACGTCTTTTATTTTACATTGGAGTTTAAAATATACAAGACATACAAACACCGAAACACGGACGATTATACAAAAATGGCGTTTCACTCTCATGAGAAACTTATTATAGCCTATAGGTAATATGTTATCTCTTGGACTTGGTGAACTTGGAGGCGAAAGAGTTCTGAAACTTAACGATACTCTTCAAACCGCGTATGGTTTTGGAGGTTTTAAGCATTAGGATGTGCGAGAAACAGTTGATATTTATATATTTTATAACATCGTGTTTACATGTCTGCACCGGAAGTGCACAGTTGCGAGAACGTTGTAGGCCTTGTCATAGAGTGTAATAAAATGGAAACTTTCTTTAGTTATTCTGTCAAAAATAACATGCACGAAGCACGAATGTTTATAACAGGGTGATTTTAGTTCGGTTCAGAATTATCTCACGACCATTGTCCATTGTGAGAGATTTTTGCTACGCTGGGACTCGATTCGTTCTGATAGTACAATAAATACAATATATTTTCGAATCACCCCACCGGCACCGTACGTTCTCGAATAGTTTTAGTAATTTTACACTTTCTCGAAAAACAAAAAGGAACCTAATTATGCCCTAAGTAGCCTGCGAGCAGGCTCTCTGGGTGAAAGAGAGCCTGCAAGGATCCCTATGATGATTGCGTGCCGCCCTTCAAATAGGATGTCACAGGTCAATTGATAACAACCGATAACAACCAATCAGCGCAGACCGGAAATACACTTCAATATTGTAAACATAAACCGATAAACCACAGATAAACGTTGAACTCCATTTATATTTTATTATTTCGTTAGTTTCGAATATAGACCGGCACTGGGGCATACTAAAAAAGGTAAAACGGCTCGAGTACAGTATAATTACCCGCTAACTAATTCAGTTGTATATATATATATATATATATATATATATATATATATATATATATATATATATATATATATATATATATATATATATATATATATATATATATATACAGTATAGTAATATTAATATAACTTACTGAAATTTATGGCTTTGGTGAGACGTAGACCCATAAAACCCCATATGGCCATATCCGTTCCGCAGTTTAACCCCATATCCGTTCTGTTCCGCATTTTAACCCCATATCCGTTCCGCATTTTAACCCCATCCGTTCCGCACTTTACCCTATATCCGTTCCGCATTTTAACCCCATCCGTTCCGCATCCGCTTCCGCATTTTAACCTAATCCAGGGGCTCCCCAAATATCCCCAAAGAACAATCTAGTGGTTTGGCAATTAGTTTTGTAAATTGTACTTAATTTAATTTAAGTTAAATTAACGAACACCGAACTGAAACAGTTTATCACAGAATGACTGATTATAAGGCAATTGTTACTGGTGGAGCAAAAGGGATCGGTCATGGAATTACCTCTGCTTTACTGGAGGCGGGTGGAAAGGTATATGTGTACAAATCTCGTATATAATTCATTAGGTGTGTTATTTAATCCCTTCCATGGTGACGCGGTTTGCATGATATTACTAATTATGATTTCTAAACTGATTAAATGATGTTCCTATTTATACTTTCCACAATTAGAGTTTAAGGTATGCAAAGGACAACCTTTTTTTTGAATTAGTTGTACATATATGCAATATATACGCAATACAAGAATGAACAACAAATTTAATATAGCCTAATGTATTGTATTTGGAGGTGTAGCAAACACCATCCCATGCAGCTGTCTCATAGGCAGAGAAACTTCAGGCCATCCCGGCTTGACAAATATAAATGATGCTGAGAATTGACCCTAGAAGTAGTTACAATAGAAATAATATACTCCCTACTGTACTGATGCATCCTGACCTTCATGCATGGTTATGCATGAGTCAATTCCTGGAGTAACCATCCCCCCCTGGGACACCCCCGGGAATTTGCCTTTCATATATGTGCACGGGGGCTGGGTATTGGAGGGCCCCCGGGGATTTGACAAATGGTTGACCAAAATCCCACCCACAAATTTTAAGGCAGCAAAACCTAGTTTCAGGCACGCGGCCGCACTGATCGTATTTTGCGCCCTCGTGGTCAAGGTGGCGTGAAATTTATTGTAAGAATAAGCGAAAATTATACCCTGTGCCATGCAAATTTAAATACAACTATTAAAGGTTTATGTTTTATAATATTCCATAGCAGTTTAATACTATAATGTTATTAAATGACTATGATTATATGCCATTAAAAGTTTAATTATTAAACGTTTACAGTCGATTTCACGAAACTTTGACCACAAATTTTCCGAACTTCGTTGCGAAGTTTACAAGATTGTTGCGAAGTTCAAAAGTTCATAATGAGATTCACAAACCAGTTCGTAAACTACGCATTTGATTGGCTTCTTTTACTTCACGGACCAATCAGGGACTTTGTTTACAAATTGGCTTGTGAATTCCAATATGAGCTTCCGAACTTCGCAACGAAGTTCAGAACATTTGTGGTCAAAGTTTCGTGAAATCGACTGTAAAATCGTCCCCGGGGTGGGGCATTTTCCACTCTCAGCTTGCCCAGGGGCCGTGCATTAGTCTTCAAGTTGTGTCCCGGCACCCGGGCATTTACACTACCATAACCAATTAAATCAAATGCCCGGGTGTGTTCCCGGGGGGGGGGATGGTTACTCCTGGAATTGACTCATGCATTATACCCAGCCTAGACCATTTATTTTTAATATTCAGCACTTTTTCACATGAGACAGGGCCGTAGGAAGTTCTTTTCGATTGGGGGGGGGGGGCTGAAAGCGAGGCCAGGGCTCGAATTTTATCGCGGCAATTGCCGTAGAGGGAGAATAAAATGCCGTTGATCATTACGGCAACGATTGCCGTATAGTGCAATTTTTATACAATTCACTGTGCATTACTACTTTGATACTTGAATTCAGATGTTGATCAAATCATGCGTAAATCACTATTTTAGTCTCAGTTTTCTTCGGAAAAAAAACACTAAAGAAATACGTACACATGTTTCTAGCTTGTCAAAAATCCAAAGTAACAGTAAAATTAAAGTTTTATTACAGTAATTTGAAAAAAAATTTTGAAAAGCTGTTACGTTCTACGGCAATTTTTAACGCCATTGCCGTCGATTGATTTCAGGGAAATTCGAGGCCTGGCAAGGGCCGAAGGCCCGAGGAAATTTTTAAATTTGGAGTCTCTGAAATGCCATTTCCTGGACTTTGGGGAAGATTTGACAGAATTCTGATAGTCAGAAAACAGCGTTTTAGTATGTCGAAATTTACAATTAAGTAGTACTAAATGGGCGAAGGCGTATTTAATTAACTATATAATTATTGAATAAATTGCCGGAAAGTATGGGTAATACCTTCATTCTTTGCAGTTTGTCACAGATTAAATGATAAAGGTCTGCATGATTTTGAAAAAAGAATGATTATTAGAAAATTATTGGGGGGCTGCAGCCCCCAGCCCCCCGGTTGCTACGGCCCTGTGAGAAGATTGTGACCTAGGCAATTTGGGAATGGAGTGGAAGAAGGGTGAACCATGGCAATACTTACCAAATGCTAGCTAGCCCGAAATTGACCAAACCTTCAATATAATATGCCAAAGCCAGCCGAGTATACGCCTTATAGTCTAGGCTGATGATTACAATGTTGATGGTTACAAATGACAACCTGAATGAACTGAAATCAATCAAGACCACATCCACTACTTAAAACCCTAGGGAATACAACTAATATAAGCACCAAAAAAGAAAATTAGTGTTGACAAGTACTTCAGAACACTTATTGTCTAGTAAATAGTTCATGAATGCAGATCGAATAGCTCACTGGGGGAAAGGTGAGCCTGCATGGAACCATGCGTTTTATTAATTCATCCCCTTTTTCCATATCTGCTAAATGCGAACCAATAAGCGTTGATTGGGATAAATAAACAAAGACTGTCAACTGTCAAAATGAAGAAATGTATATATAACAACAAAGTTCCGAATACTATAATTTTTGTGTGTTGGATTTAAGTGATAGATTCAAGTCATTTATGATACCGGTTTTTGCTGTGATGCTTTACTATTGGTTTTAGTTTCCATTTCTAGTTTTATTTTGTTTGATAGTATTATTAATAATAAAATGAATAAAGTTCAAAATGCTGTTGTTTATATTTGCTATTTTTAAACGGGTGTATCAGAAGCCTGCGTTTCTATACGAACGCTACTACCAAGAAAACCTATAGTTCCGTGGCCTTTCTTCACACCGCCCGTAACCCAAGAGGGGCTCAGAGGCTAGCAGAATAGCTGGAGAATAAGCCCAGTGAGTGGGTGTGGTTAGCAGTCTGGGACAATTAAAACCATCAAACAGGTTACAGGACAACTTATTGCTACTCACCAACACTCAACTGTTTTGCAACTACCATATTATGTTGTTCATAAAATATATTCTAGCTTAGAAGAAGGAAAAGAAGTACGAGCTGTGTTTCTAGATATTAGTAAGGCATTTGACAAAGTTTGGCACGAGGGGTTGATAAGCAAATTGAAATTTATTGGAATCAAAGGTACATTACTAAAATAGCCGGCTGGAGAGCTATCTCTCTAATCGTTTTCAACGAGTAGTTGTGGAGGGGACCAACTCGACCTGGGAAAAAGTCAATGCTGGAGTACCGCAGGGCAGTGTTCTTGGGCCCCTCCTGTTTCTGATTTACATCAATGATATTACTAATGATATACAATCTGAGGCTTTTTTATTTGCTGACGACACCATGATTTTAGATGTGGTATAAAGATTCTCCAACAACTTCTGCTGTAAAGCTTAATACTGATCTTGCATCCATATCTAGTTGGGCCGATAAATGGATGGTCCATGAATCCCAGTAAAACACGATCTATGATTTTTTCTGTTAAGAATAACAAGCCTGATCACCCTAGACTTTTGTTAACCAGACGTTAACTTGCATTGTCACTTAGGCATTAATCTGTCAAGTGATCTCTCCTGGCAAAATCACATATGTATCATTAGCGAAAGAGCGGCCAAAAGATTGAATATGCTAAAAGGTTTGAGATTTCGTCTGAACAGATCTACATTAAATAGCATGTATATTTCTTTAGTTAGACCTTTAATGGAATATGGTGATTTTATATGGGACGGTTGTGGGGTTGAGTGCAGTAATGCTCTCGAAAGAATTCAATTTGATGCAGCTCGCCTTGTTACTGGTGCTATAAAAGGCACTAACCGGGTAGCTCTGCTAGAAGAACTCTCTTGGGATAAATTAGAAATGTTCACAAATTGTCAGTTTTATACAAAATTAAGAACAGAATGGTTCCTGACTATCTTTATTTTGTCTTACCAAAGCCAGTATCTCAAATATCCAATTATCCACTCCGCAACAGTGATGATATATGCAATTTTCTATGTTCTTCATCTAGATTTCAACAGTCGTTCTTTCCATCGGCTATATCTGCTTGGAATTCCTTATCTGATTCAATTAGAAATCTGCCGTCTATTACTAATTTTAAAACTTCAATTAAGAGACTATTTTGTAAAAAAAAGATGTCCGTAGATTTTCGAAGTCGGTGCTAGGTATCCTTCAGTTTTACACACAAGACTTCGGTTACGTAATAGTACTTTAAATGATGATCTTTTCCGTCATAATTGTATACCGTCTCCTACTTGTGCGTGCGGATCGTGAAACTACCATCGTGAAACTACTGAACATTATTTGTTGGATTGCTCGCTTTGGGATACTTACCGTTCAATTTTACTTACTACGGCTGTAGAATGTCTTGGGAATTATTGGTTCAATTCTATTAATAGAACTGGGAAACTTTCTTTTTTGCTCTCTGGATGTAATAACGTTGCTTTTAATGCAAATCATAGATTGTTTTTTGCTGTACAAAGATTTATAATTGATACATCTCGTTTCTCAGTTGGTAAATAATGTAAAAAAAGTATTATTGTAAGTACCTAGCTGTTTAACTGTAACAAGCTGTCTGAGGTGCTACAAAATTCTCGATGTTTGTGTTTCTGAGGGCTTGTTGCAGTAGGTAATTAACGTGTTTCAAAGCGATGATCTGATTGTGATATATTTAAAACGTTATAATTATTGATGTTGTATGATACTTGTATAGATAAACTTTATTTAATCACGCTAACCCCGTCAACCGAAGCTGATTTCCGCGAGGGGCGTGCGAAAAAGTATACAGAAAATAATTTTAAAAACTATTTACAAAATTATATAAGATATATAATATTATATGAACTAACAAAATTAAATATAAGTAATCTATTTGCAGGTATATATAGACTTAGGTGTCAATCTAAGTAATAATTTCAATTAATCAATGTGAGTAGCGATTTTCTTTCGAAAGGAAGGAAAGGATTTGCTCTCTCTAATTTCTTTAGGAATAGAATTCCAAAGGTGTGCTCCGTCATACATGAAACTGTTTTTCATATTATTAGTACGCGGTTGTGGTAAAGAAAGACTACTTGAAATGTTCCGAAGTTTGTAGTTTGTCACCTCACTTTTATATGTGAAGAGATTACTGAGTGATTTGGGTACCATTTTGTTCAATAATTTGTACATGATTTTTGCTTTACTTTTCTTCCTTTGTGTTTTAAGTGGCTTCCAACCCAATGCTTGCAATGCAACAGAATGATCTATGTCATTGCTCATATTCATAATAATCCGAGCAGCTCTGTTTTGTACTTTTTGGAGTCTTTTTGATTGCGTTTCTCCAAACACATCCCATACTTCACAGCAGTAATGAAAATATGGGCGAACAATAGCATTATATACAGAAAGAAGTGTTTGCTTATCAGCAAATTCTTTTAAACGGCTAAGAGCCGATATTCCGGATGTTATTTTCTTGCAAATATTCTCAGTGTTAGTTCTCCAAGGTAAATGTTGGTCAATTGTCACTCCAAGAGTTTTGGTTTCATGAACTTGTTTAATTGACCTGTTTTCAATTTTCACATTGAGTTGCGAATTTGAAATACTTTTAATCATTTGCTTTGTACCAATTAACATAAACTCAGTCTTAGCAACATTTAGACTAAGTTTATTGGCAATTAGTATAATTACATAGGTGATTATTGAAAATTCTCCACGCTGATTGGTTGCCGTTGAGGTGATTATTACGCGATAATCACCTAAGCGATTTTCAAAATGGCGGCCGAAGCCTTTTTGTCAATTAAATGACGAAGAAATGTGTATTTTCTTATTTTTTTCCAAATAATCACCTATGAAATTATACTAAAACAATTATTCACCTCAGGCTCGGTAATTATCGTGAATAAACTCCTCGACTTCGTCTCGGTTTTTATTCACCGATAATCACCTCGCCTTCGGCGAATAATTGTTAATTAGCCATTTCCTAAGTTTTTCCAAATCAGAATTCACTGCAGTTTCAAGATCAGTAATAGAGTTTCCAGAAACTGTCAAGTTAGTGTCGTCAGCAAACAACCGAGGTTTTGTTTTTTCCAGGCATTGAGGCAAATCGTTAATATATAATAGAAAAAATAGTGGCCCTAAAATAGAGCCTTGTGGTACGCCACGTTTGATCAATTTCTCTGATGAAAATGACTCTTGTATTTGGCATTTTTGTTTTCTATTTGAGAGATACGATTCTAGAAAAGATAGAGCTTGCCCTTTTATTCCATAGAGCTCTAATTTTGTCAATAATATTTGATGATCAACAGTATCAAATGCTTTTTTCAAGTCAATTAAGACTACTAGATTAAACATTTTTCGGTCTAAATTCATATACCAATCATTTGTACAGTCCAGTAATGCTGTAGCTGTAGAGTGAAATTTACGAAAACCGAATTGAGAATCACTCAGAAGTCCAAATTTGGTTAAATAATTGTATAGTTGATCATATAGAATTCGCTCCATAATTTTGCTAATGACAGGCAAAACTGAAATTGGTCTGTAAAATTTCCTGGCAGGTTTCGTTGGCCTTTTTTTATGGAGGGTGATTACCGCCAAAATTAATGTTTGAATTTTGCATTCCAAGTTCTAGATTTTGTTGTTCGTTCCGTGCTTTTCGATATCAATGAATTGGATTTTGATATTAAAGAATTGAATTTTGATGTTTGCAGTTGCATTTGCACTTCTGTTTGCGCATTTTGTCCTTAATCATTCCATTGTGATGACGTAACATTATGCGTGACCCTCAGAACACAATTTTCAACTCGATTTAATGATAATTTATTTCCCGCAAAAATTTTAATTATCTCTAATTATTCCAACATTATTACTTCGGATGTTCAGCATACGGATAAAATGGTTGAGAACCGTTCCAAATCACAAGAAGCAGCAACTTTTAATATTACGCCGTGCAGCAAGCATTTTAACGCACAATTCTGCTGAAAGTGAAGGATGTTGTGCAAGGAACAGCAATATGGGAAATACAGTGCGTCCAATTGAATTCAACCTGCTCTAAGTCAACAAGCCACAACCTCTAGTCACGATGAATTTCGGCGAGTATTCTCCCTGTACAATAGGGCTAACAATAGCAGCCTCGTTCATCAACCTCCGGCGAAGCGCGGTCGAGGTAATTCTTGGGGACAAACGCGTTCTTTTAAGCCACAAGATACGTGGACACACGATTTTTCGGTTTGGCACAAGTAGCTCGCTGAATTAACTCGTATTAAAATAATGCACTTTAAGATGTGAAATGTATGAAGTAAATCTTGATGTGAAATTGTGAATACGCTGAATACGATTATTTACAAATACAAACTCTCCACTTCTAAAAACACCAGCAAAAACACTTCTTTAGATCGAGTATGAAACGCTCAGCAAGCGTCTTGTTTACGGTAAATTTATATGTATGATCATATTACATGTATGTAATATTAAAATTTTTGCGGGAAATAAATTATCATTAAATCGAGTTGAAAATTGTGTTCTGAGGGTCACGCATAATGTTACGTCATCACAATGGAATGCTTAAGGACAAAATGCGCAAACAGAAGTGCAAATGCAATTGTGAACACAGGGCGTAGCAACCGGGGGGGCTGCAGCCCCCCCAATAATTTGCTAATAATCATTCTTTTTTCAAAATCATGCAAACTTTATCATTTAATCTGTGACAAACTGCAAAGAATGAAGATATTACTCATACTCCAGATCGTTCCTCGCGTAGAAATTTTAGCTGAATTTCTGTCGCGCATTTTCAAGAAAATTCCACAAAATCTGCACATTTTTGATGAACTAATGATTTATTTTGTCTTTTGCGTGTTGGGTCTTGCGAAAGAAAACTCTGAAAATGCCATTTCAGACCATCTAGAGACTCCAGATTTTCGAAATTTTCTCAAATGTTCTGCCTTCATTTCCGCGCAACTGCCATTTACGACGAAAATTCCCGCCGCGCATTTATAATACTACAGTCTGGCCCATACTTTCCTGTAAATTTCGACATACTAAAACGCTGTTTTCTGACTATCAGAATTGTGTTAAATCTTCCCCCAAAGTCCAGGAAATGGCATTTTAGAGACTCTAAATTTAAAAATTTCCTCGGGCCTTCGGCCCTCGCTTTCAGCCCCCCAATCGAAAAGAGCTTCCTACGGCCCTGGAACATCAAAATTCAATTCTTTAATATCAAAATTCAATTCATTGATATCAAAAAGCACGGAACGAACAACAAAATCTAGAACTTGGAATGCAAAATTCAAATATTAATTTTGGCGGTAATCACCCTCCATAGTTTTTATAGAGAGGTATTACTCTAGCCGTTTTCCATTCGTGGGGGGAAAGGGATAGGGTAATAGCCTGATTGAAAATGTATATGAGTGAATCTGAAATAGCAGGTGCAGCTATTTTAATAATTTTACTAGATATCTTATCAACACCAGTGGCTTTGTTGCTAGAAAGACCATGCAAGAGATTGCATTTTTGAATATGTAAATCTTTATTTTTGTGCAAGAGCCCCCTAGATGAGCCAACGTGTGCTCCTGGGGCAATTGCGCCAAATAAATATGTTTAAACTAAGCTCACACCCACAATAGTCTGAACAAGACTTACCATGGCCAACACAATAATAGACACTAACCAGACCAGTAAGTGTGAAACGCAATGACTAATCACGGACCTCCAGTGTACAACCTCCAGAAAACATAACACTCTGCCAACATGATCTCTTTTCAAAATTAAGGGTATGTCTTAATTGTAAAACTTTTGAAAATTAAGGATATGGCTTAATTTTGAAATTCTCCAAAATTAAGGCATAGCCTTAATTTAATAATACCACAATCATTAGGCAAGGTTTCTTACTATAAAAGTAATGGCCATACTTAGGGAGGCTGGACGCGCAAGGGGGGACCCCAAAAAGAAAAAAAAGGTCGCCATATTTGGATTGGATTAGGGTTAGACTAAGATTAGATTAGGATTAGCGGTTAGGGGGGGGGGTTAGAGGTTAGGGTGGAGATTATGTTTAAAATTAAGGCAATGTCTTAATTTGAACGCTTTTTGCAATTGAGACATAGCCTTAATTTTCGGAAGAGATCGAGCTGCACTCTGCATACCCCTCGAATATCCCCCAACTAATGATACAGGCACTTCTGATCTACAGTAACCAGAAGTTCAGGTCCTGATTTTTTTAAATAGGGCCTGACACAAAACCTGTCTAAACTGTGAGATTCCCGTCCATTTGGTGGTTAGATCTACAGCAACCGGGAAACACAATGCTCTATACATGCCCGCAATACCCCCAACTAACACCACAGGCACTTCCAACCTACAGCGACCGGGAAACAATCACTAATTAGGAACCTCTGGTGCACAACTCCTGGGAAACGCAATGCTAAGCATACCCTCTGATACTCCCAACAAATGATACAGAATACAGATAGCTAACCATTGAGAACCTCGATCCCAATTACAATCACCGTCACCCATAGTGATGATGTATGAGAGCTAGCACAACAGTGAACTACTAACTTGTGGTCTATTGCTAATCTAGGAGGCAGCCGATTGGATGATAGGCTTGCATAAATGCATAACCTCATCAGTGCAATCTCACACTTGTGGCATAGATGATTTCAATTGGGAACCTGGGAAGGCTTGTCTAAGCATTACATCAATGCACCGTGATCAATGGACCTTAGAAGTGCTTAATGAATAATTGACCCAAGAGTATCCCACAATGCACTGTGCATTCCAGAAATCCTCTGTGTTAGAAATTGCGTGAATTGTACTTCTAAAGGCCTAATTCCACGACGATCGCAATGCGAAAATTTTTGCGCGAAAAGGTTGAACGCATGCGCAACATGATTTTGGAATGTTTCTCTGCGAAATACTGTATTTCACTTCGCCGTGTAATTGAATTCGTTTCTATTCCGTTGCTGGAAATAGCGAAGCCAATCAAATACTTGTGTTTTGGATGACAAAATAGCGAAACCAATCAAATGCTTGTGTTTTGGCTAATTTTTTCCGTCTACTGTGGAAATCACTACGAGAGAAAATTTTCGCACAATGCAAGTCACTTGTCCTACCATAACCCTAACCCATGGCCTGTCTTCATACAGTGAAATGATTTGAACACAGGGCTTTTTTACGAACTTGTCTGTGGGGGGCATCTACAAAAAGGGACCATACTATACTGAGTGTAGAGAGATGGCAGATGGTTGTTGGTGACAAAAAGTGGTGTGGTATCGCATGAACTGGTAGGGGGGCCTGGGGGTATTCTCGCCCAGAAAATGTTTTTGTATTTTTCCACCCCTAGGACTGAAATGTGAGCATTTTCTGAAACAGATTTTTGGATATACAGCGTTTTTAACTTACATTGTGCTTTGATAGACCGAATCTGATCAGTTAACTACTTCTTGCATGGTATATTTATGTAAATACCACAACTGGGACACTGGGTCATTCAGCGGGTAGGAAACTTGTTAAACTTAGTGGGCCCGACTCCCACGAGGTGCTACCATGATTGGCACCGAGCAGGAAAATTTTGAGTCTCTAGATCGTTGGAAATGGCATTTTCATAGTCTTCTTTACCTCTTTGGCATTATGATTTGTGAGTCTATGCTGTTTGTGATTATAGAAATCCGAACTTTAGACACCCCCCCCTTTCTCTAGGTTAAAACTTTTTTGAACCCCCCTATTTATAAGGGTAAAACTTCGTCCCCCCCCGCTCCCATTTACCAATTTATTTAAGAATTTATTATTTATTCCTGATGCATCAGCATATATAAAAAGTGTAATGTCCGCAATATAATGTCACTAGAATCTTTTTACCTAGAACAGTGTTTATACAATTCTAGAATAGGATCAGTTATTATTTCACTGTTTGAAAACAGCGAAAAGTTTTTTTTCTGTAAAATAAAAAATATGTAATACAATTTGTAGCAGACAACATGCATAATGTCCGCAACAAAATGTAATTCACTGCATGGAAAGCTGGAATTGAGAAAAAATTTATGTCTTAAACTGTGCTTGGGAAGACAGCTATATATATTGAATCCCAATTTAACTCTTCTGATTTAAGGCTCATTTTATCCCAGCACTCAGGTGTTCCAAAAATGCAACTCAAACAAAGTCCACATAATGTGATATGATTTTTGATTATTCCATGTCTTGCCTTTTTAAGAAAAAAGGTAATATCATGTCTTGCCTTTTTAGAAAATTCAATGTTTGAAAAGTTTCGTTATTTCACAGTTAATAAAATCTTATTTTATTAACTGTGGTTATTTCAATGCCTCGTGCATGTGGAATGTCCAATAACATAACTTTCCAGCAGTGTCACCCATGACTGATCAACTTTAGAAATAATAAATGTTAATGCCGCCATTATCGCAAAACTTGAAATCAGGGGCGTCGCTAGAGGGTTGAACCTCCTCGTCAGGTAGTCGGCAAATTATTGAATTCCAGTCGCCGCAAATTGTTTTCGTAGTCGGCAAAATTCTCAACCTTATCAATTACTGTCCATAGGTTTGCTTTTTGGATGTTTCAGTCTCGGACGGAGAGAAGGCACAGAAAAGTTTTGATGAAAAATATGGTAGTGGAAAAGCTGTGTTTCTAAAGTGTGATGTTTCAAAGAAGGATGAACTACACGGTACGTGTATATCCAGAGGAGGAATGAGGGTCTTCCCGAAATGCAACGCGCGAATCAGTGCGGCTCATTATTATTCAAGCTATTTATTCTCAACTAAAAACTGTTCGATTAAAAACTGTTGAAATATATTGCGATTTTTGCTGTGAAGATCTCGTTTTCCCAAAGGTATGTTTTGATAACCTTTTTGTTTAGTAATTTAATAAAAGAAGTTTTGAATGATTTTGTATATATATCGCATTTTACTTATTTTAAATTCCCATTGTATTTATGCATGTTTTGGGTGTTGAAAAAGTGGCATTGAAATATTCTGGAGTAAATTGTACTTTTTTTACAAGGAAACTAAAATAAAATTACATCAGTGAATTCAGGAATGTTCACTCTTTATATTGATACTTTAAAACATGAATTTACTCCATAAAACCGAAGAGTTATCGCGGTTTGAAAATGAGCTATTTTTGCTAATTATCGAATATAGCAAAAATAGCTCATTTTCAAACCGCGATAACTCTTCGGTTTTATGGAGTAAATTCATGTTTTAAAGTATCAATATAAAGAGTAAACATTCCTGAATTCATGCACTGATGTAATTTTATTTTAGTTGAATTCACTGATGTAATTTAATTGCCGTTTTCGTTTTTGTTTTTGTTTTTACACTATCATTTTTACAAGTGACTAATATAATGTGAACCTTTCCCCGTCCCCATTTACATCTATAGATGTAAATGATTATATATATTGGATTTTAGAAAGGGTACCTTATGGATAATGTGGATCAAGCTACGATTATTCTACCGTGACCTATAATATTACCAATAATTTCAAAAGACAGCATGGATCTCACTGCAGCTATTGATAACTGATATTTTGTTCTGTAGATGCATTTCATAAAGCGAAATCTCTAATGGGTGGTTTGAACGTGGTGTGTAATAACGCTGGAGTGAGTTTCTTTGCTGATGAAAGACCTCATTCTGATACGTTGATATCTGTTAATCTGGTAGGTATAATTTCTAGAGAAGTCCCAAAATTATCAAATAGCTCCTTGAAGCCCATGCATGCAGCGTAAACGTGAAGCCAACATATACGCCCGCTTTTCTTATCTGCACTGCATGTAGTTCAGTTAAGTACTATATTTAGATTTGTTTCACAAATTCGACTCGACGAGAATCGTTTGCAAATATTATTCTATATATAACGTTTTGGATCTAACGTGTTATTTGTTAAATAATGTATTCAATCATGCATATTTAGTTTAGTATAACCAAGTGGAACATATACACACATGCATATACATGCATACATATACATTATTCAGCTCACTCCTCGTCGTTCAGTGACCAATTATATTAGGTAGCCTAATATGCTTATATTTATATTCCTTAGTTAGCCTAGGCTATTTATCTTTACAACAATTGTGATATTTCTTTCTTAACTATATATGTTTATCCTAACCCGGCCACCCTGTCAAACACGGAGAAAAATAGTTACTTTTATGCTGAATTTCCCCAACTTACTTAACCTTCTCTTTGGCCTTCGATCTATTTTCTCCCGTTTCATTACATGCATGTACAGGAGAATCGTAAAGGGTGAAATGGGAGCCGGTATTTGACTCGTTTGTTCACTAGAAAAACGGGATTTGGACTACTGCAAGGAGTGGCATTTGCAGTAGCATTCTGCTGCTTGGAATGAGATTTGGGTCGGGTGACTAGCATTCTGACAAAATTTTAAGGCCTGTTCGTATTCTCCCAGCTAACAGGGAAACTCGCCTGCAGAGTGAGATCTGCATTCTCTTTGTTCGCATACTGTATGATTTGCATATAATGTAAAATTAAATTGTTTTCGAATGAGAAACAAGCCAGCATGGCTCACTTTGCGCCAGTGGGATAAGATTTTCCATATGAAGGCTCTAATCCCACCTGACTGGGATGGAAATGTTTTGCCATTTTTGATCTACAATATACAGGGTGTATAAAAAACTGAACAGATTTAAATTGCTCTCAATTTCGCTCTCAATTTCTACTAAACAGCTATTAGTATCCAGTTTTTGATATATATATATATATAGAGAGAGAGACAGAGAGGAAATAAACCTGGTTTACTTCATAAGATTGTGAATAAATCTTATGAATAAATATATATATATATATATATATATATATATATATATATATATATATATATATATATATATATATATATATATATATATATATATATATA